TCAAGCACTGCAATCCGTTCTAACAACGCAGCGCATGTGCATGGCGTACACCACAATGTGGTGCATACGGTTGCACATGTATGTTTATCTGTGCGTGTGGGGGGAGAGATGGTTTGTGGGTTGTTGTTTTTTTTATTAATATGTCCTCCAGAGTCCTCAATCTCTTTTTCTGCAGTCTCAGCACTGAATGAATGGAATGCACTCAGTACAGAGGCTTCCCATTCATTCAACTGGTGATAGTAAACTATTTACTATCCACCAGTTTATGAATGGGTAGAAGCCTCTGTACTTAGTACATCACTTCCTGTTTATTCATATTTATAGGTAGTAGCAAAGTACTCTGGGGTGAATTTATCAAAACTGGAGCAGACAAAATTTGGAACAGCTGTGCATGGCAGCCAATCATCTTCTCTTTTCAGTTTGTTCAGTTAAGATTTAAAAATGAGAGAGAGAAGCTGATTGGTTGCCATGTACAGCAGCTCCAAATTTTGTCTGCTCCAGTTTTGATAAATTCTCCTCTGTTTACAAATATCGTCGGGGGAATTTATTTAAACAGATCAAATCTGGAGCAAATTTGCATTACAACCAATCAGCTTCTCTGTCTCATTTTCATATCTTACCTGAGCAAACTGAAGAGAGATGCTGATTGGTTGCCATGGGCAACTGCTCCAGATTCTGTCTGCTCCAGTTTTAATAAATTCCCCCTGTGTGTTTTGTGCTGCACAGAGGATCCTGAACTTGCAGCTCCCTTCTCAGCCCAAACCCCCCCCCCCCGCCGGTGATTTCTCCGCTGATAACTGCTTCGTCAGCCCATACAGGCGGGGGAGAGCAGTGGGGATCCAAGGAGAAGCATAGAGCAGCACCAGGCGGGGAGGAGAGGTAGGAATTTTTGTTAATAGCGGTCATCGGTGGCTTTTCAGCCGCTGATGACGGCTATTATTTTACAGGGAACCCGTTCTAAAGCGACCCTGAGTTTATAGCAGCACGGTAAAAGCCACCAACGTATGGCATACTGATGTGGCCAACTGCAAGCGGTTGTGTTTTGCTGTATGCCATATGTGAGTGGCAGGGAAAGGGTTCAATAAATACTTTTAAGGGTTAATAAACCCCCAGCGGTTTTTGCACATAGCTACTGATGGTATGGATTTAAACTTACCTGTGTCTTTGCCGCGCGCTCCCGTCCGAACATCTGAAGATTCTTGGGGCGGGCGCATGCGCAGTTCAGATCTTCGGCCGGGAGATAAGGAGAGACACAAGGTAAGTATATGCAGCAGCGTGCACCTGCACAGACTCCGTGGGACAGGAAGTGCAAGTTAAGACAGAGGATTCAGCTCCCTTAGGAGAACTATGGGGAAAAGCCCTAACCCCATAGTTCTCCTTTAAGTAACACTAAAAAAATAACAGTAAAACAGATAAAAATACAAAATCTTTAAATGTAAATAGTTATAAAATAGAAATTAGCCCCCCCCCCAAAAAAGCATATGTTATACCTGAGTGCCCGCAGGGGATACTGTAAAGCAGTTGTACTACTGCTTTACAGGATCCTACAGGATACTACGGCTACTGCAGTTCTTTACAGGATCCCCATCGGGTCATCAGGTATGACATATGCATACTTAAATTTGGGCCAAGCTGGATCAATGTATGCATAATAATTTATACTGAAAGTTCAGATTTCACTTGCACAGAGAACATTCTAAGACAAAAGTATGCATGTTTTTTGCATTTCAACTGTGTTTTTAGCCGTTTGTCTGGAGTTTACTTTTGAAGGCACATTCATGCAATTAACTTGCAGTAACACACAGTGTAATGTGCGCGCTACCAAAACACACTAAAGCAGCAAGCACTATGTGATACATTGTGGTGTTAATCAGTGTAATGCAACAAAGTGTGAATAGGCCCTAAGTAGGGATGTCCCGATACAACTTTTTCAAGACCAAGTACAAGTACTTCCCCTTATGTACTTGCCGATACCAATTACCAATACTTTTTCTTAAAAGGACAGGTGACATTAAAAAAAACAATACAGACTAATGATTTTAGGACAATTTCTTTATTATTATGAAGAACTTTAATTTAAGACTGTTTTAGAACAATAAAACATTTTTATTTGCTTTCATACAGCTGTAGTGAAACTGCAAATCCGATCATGCATCTGCCTCTGGGATTATTTAACCTATTCATGTTTTCAACTGCGATCGTGTGGGACCGCCCGGGCGGTATTGCGGCAGGAAACCGTGCGATCCGTCTGGTGCGAATGGAGTGCCATTAGAAAATAATGGCATTGCCAGCGCGATCGGGGGTGGTGTGCGATTCCGTGACCACCCAGCCATTCACTCGGTTTCGTGCACGATGACCGGGCGGTCACGGATCGCACATCACGTTGGCAGTGCCATTATTTTCTATAGGCACCCCAGTCGTGCCAGGCAGATTGCACGGTTTCCCACCGCAATGCCGCCCTGCACGTGCAGTTGCACACGATCGTGGTTGAACAAACACTGCGCGTTTATTCGCATGCATATGATGGGGGCTGCGGGCTAGTTTTAATTTTTCTTTATTTTTACTTTATCGCCTTTGTATTTTTACATTTTTATTTAGTTACATTTTTAATTAGTTATTATTTTTTACTTTTTTATTTTATTATTTTTTACTTTTTTAAACAATTTTTTTCACTTAACTTTATTGCTATCTCACAGGGGATAACAAGCCCATATGTGCAACCCCTATATGGGTTGGACTTGATGGACGTATGTCTTTATTCAACCCCAAATACTATGTAACTATGTAAGCCCCTGTGTGATAGCATTTTAAGGTGACAGGTACTCTTTATTGACCCTGTCACCTCCAACACAGGAGTTCTAGCACAGCACTGTGCTGGAACTCCTGTGACAGGAACGATCAGCGGCCGGGAACAGAGGCTGAGGGAGGTCTCTGTCACTGCTCCACGCCCCCCGCTCTGTTACCGCTCCACACCCCCTGCTCTCAGCGCTCCACGCCCCCTTCTTGCACCGCTCCACATCCCCTGCTCGCACCGCTCCACGCCCCCCGCTCTCGCTTGCCCGGCGCCCGGAACTACATGTCCTGGGCGTTGGGCGATACGAATTCAACACCCCTGCGCAAGCATCGGCGCTAAGTATCGGGGCATTTTCACAAGTACAAGTACTTGTGAAAATGCCCTGTATCGGTCCCGGTACCGATGCTAGTATCAGTATCGGGACAGCCCTAGCCCTAAGAACTAAGTTCTCTACAAATAACAAATTAACCTCTTGCCGTCCACCCGTAGTAGAAAAACGGACGGACGGCACTGCTGCATTGGCGGGTTTTTTTTTGGACTGGATGGGAAGGGGGTTTAACACCGCGGATGTCAACTGGTTAAAAATATACCTTAAAAATTATAAATATTAATAAATAATAATACAAATGTAAAATGTGTTTCTCCAAAAACTATTCGGGTTTATTCAGACCTATGCATTGCAGTAACATGCCGCAAAGTACATGCTTTTCTGCAAGGCATGAAACTAACTGTGATGTGTTGTTGTGCTATTTTATTTTGATCTGAACCCCGACACACCTTACCAGCGGACAACAACTCATGTTCGTTTCAGCACATCACATCTATGCATTGTGGTGTGCTGCATTAAAACAAATGCTTCTGTTCCTTTAAAAAGAAATGTCTGAAAGAGCACAAATTAGGGATGCACCAATACCATTTTTTTCAGACCGAGTACGAGTACAGATACTTTCTCTCAAATACTCACCGATACCAATTACCAATTACCTTTTTTTTTATGTGATAGTGTTTCTGAAACAATACTGACTAATGATTTTAGGACAGTGGTGGAGGGTGTCAGGAGGTAGAGAGGTGTGGCGGCAGAAGCGTTGTAAGCAGGTGCCGCATGTTTCCCAAGAAGGCTTCTAGGTTTTCCAGGAAGCAAGGGACCTCAAACAGCCGCTTTAGCTTGAAAAAGCGCTGGTATTGGTTTTTAGTATCGGGGCATTTTCGCAAGTGCTAGTACTCGTGAAAATGCCCAGTACTGGTATCTGTGCATCCCTAGCACAAATAGTTTCAATTTAATAAATATAAATTAGCGTTATTAGTGTTTTATTTGATCTGTTTAGAGTTTAGCTTTAATACTGGAGGTGTGGAGATAAATGGGGCATTTTTTCTAGAGATTAATTTTAATGTGCAGCCCTAGGTGACAAAAACAATTAAGCTAACATAGTAGGGTGTAGGTCCCCTATTGAGATTAATAGGTTTAAGATCAGTTGGCTATAAGAAATGCATTAAATGAGACAAGGATACTGAATAATGAACTGATTAAAAATTGTTAATCTTAATTATGATCAGTTAAATATTACATCAAAATGTGCTTGAGTTATTCTTGTGTTCTGTGTACAAGTTGATTTTATCCTCACATATGTATTTCAGTTTGCTGTATGTGTCCAGTTCTGCTACTTTATTGTTCTTTGTTGAATTTGTTGAATAATATGGTTTGTATGTTTAATTATTAAGCAATGAAAGGAAATGTTGCACCAGAGGCTGTTTTGTTCAGTGACACTTAAGATATCTGAGCTGTCTAAAACAGCACATGCCTACCTACTGTATGTGCCCAAACTGCACTGTGAGCTTTCTGGAGGTATTGCAGCATATATTACCTGCAATATGAACAGAAGATGAGAAATCAATCTGGGTTAAAAATAAAATTGAGACCCGTTTTGGAGGACGCACTGCTTCCCCCACCTATACTCTCCAAAGCCCTACCAATTTTGTTAGTTGTGGGTGGAGTAGGGGGATATTTGATCTCTTGCTCTCCATGACCTTGGTGGGAAAATTACCCCCTACTATATATACTGAAACATGTTTCAAATGGAAAATACACTTTGGAAACTTCAACTTGCATTTTTTTCAAAACAAAAAATAATTTGCCTTTTGATACATAGAATTTGTTTTGTAAACGTGTGGGTTTTAGAGATGATTTTATTTTTATTTTGTCTTCTAGTCCAGTAAGGTTCCTGTGGTCCAGCCATCGCATGGGGTTCACCCACTCACACCTCTCATTCCATTCAACAACGAGCCATTCAGTCACAGCTCCCACTCGCCACATCTTCCTGCAGACCTCAACCAAAAACAAGGTAACCTGTCCAACATATTTAGATTTTATAATGAATTTGCTTCCTCTCTGCCTGTTCAGAACAGTTTAATTTCTTACAAAGGATCTTCAGATTGTAAACAAAGTTTTGTCAGAAACAAACCAAATTCTATCTTTCAGAGTTTTAATTAAATTTTTTAAATAAAAGAGCGATGATTATTATCCAAGGTCATTACAGGCATTTCTTTTTTCTGTTGGTCACAATTGATTTTTGCAGACACCAATGACACCTACTTGCTGCACGCTTAACAATTTATCCCAACTGAAGTCTCTCACTGTTATTTTTTATAGTCCTTTAGCCCTGTATATTGGGATTTGTGACTGAATTTCACTTGGAAAAGTTGAAAATACTTTTTTCCTGTCAGTGAAAATGCATTTCCTCCAGTGCTTTATTTTGCCACACCCCTGAGCACAAGCTGCCTTACCACATTTCAGAAAAGGGTAGGGGTGCCTATTGGACTTCACAGTCATGTTTAGACTCCATGAACAATAACGGTGGAGGTAAGATTATGAAACAGAGGTTGTTAGTACAATGTCTATGTGACAGTTTGTCTGTTCCGGTGACATCTATTGGGCTTTAACCTAAAGTTTGGACTTTAACTTGAAATAATGCCTCCTTTACCTTTAACCTTATACGTATCCTTCCCTAAACATGGGTGTCCCAATACTTATGGCAATATAGTGTGTGTATACACACACACACACACACACACACACACACACACACACAGTATCTATATATACATATACGCACACAGACACACACACTGTATATATCTATCTATATCTGTCTAATCCATCTATCCAGTATATATACAAATGCACACACACACACACACACCAATCAGCCATAACCTTATGAACACCCTTCTAATATTATGACTTCTGAAGGTATGCTGTAGTATCTGGCACCAAGCCGTCAGTAGTAGATCCTTTAAGTCCTGTAAGTTGTGAGGTGTGGCCTCCATTTATTGGAGTTGGTTTTTCCAGCACATCCTACAGATGCTTGATTGGACTGAGATAATATGGAGAATTTGGAGGCCAAGTCAACACCTTGAACTCATTGTTATGTGCTCCTCAAAACATTCTTAAACCATTTTTGCTTTGTGGCAGGGCGCATTATCCTGCTGCAAGAAGATATTGCCATTAGGGAATACTGTTTCTATCAAGGGATGTACTTGGTCAGCAACATTGTTTAGGTAGGTGGTACATGTCAAAGTAACATCCACATAAATGGCAGGACCCAAGGTTTCCCAGCAGAATATTGCCCAAAACATCACACTTGCTCCCCCGGCTCGCTTTCTTCCCATAGTGAATACTGGTGCTATCCCTTCCACAGGTAAGTGACGCACACTCACCCGACCATCCACATGATGTAAAAAAAAATGTGACTCATCAGACCAGGCCACTTTCTTCCATTGCTCTGTGGTCTAGTCTAATGCTCACATGCTCACATGCCCATTGTAGGAGATTTTGCCGGTGGAAATGGGTCAGCATGGGCACCCTACGCAGCCCTATACACACTATGTGTTCAGACATCAGAACCTGCATTAACTTTTTCAGTAATTTGAGCTACAGTAGGTCTTCTATTAGATTAGACTACAGGGACCAGCCTTCGCCCTCTATGTACATCAATGAGCCCATGACCCTCTCACCGGTTCAGTGGTTTTCCTTCCTTGGACCACTTTTGGTAGACCAAAAGAGCTGCAGTTTTGGAGTTGCTCTGACTCAGGCATCTAGCTATCACAATTTGGCCCTTGTCAAGGTTGCTAAAATCCTTACACTTGCTAGTTTTTTTCTGCTTCCAGCACATCAACCTCAGGGACAAAAGTTTCACTTGCTGTCTAATATATCCCACCCTCTTTCAGGTGTCATTGTAACTAGATAATGAATGCTATTCACTTTACCACTCAGTGGTCATAACTAGGGATGCACTGATACAGAGTATTTGAGGAAGTACTCATACTCGCCCAAATGCTCTGCTACCTCCCTCGATACCAGAACTTCCAGTCAGAGGAAGATTTCCTCTGACCAGTAGTGCCGTAGGGGAACATGGAGCCAGCTTCACGTGCGATCAGGAAGCTGGGCAGCGAGTAAAGACCCACCTCCCGGCTTCCTCATTGGCCAGGAAGCCGTCTCCATGCTGATTGGCCAGGAAGCCGACTTACCAGCCAATCAGCATCGAGCCAGCTTCCCGGCCAATCAGGAAGCTGGAAGGCGGGTCATTACTTGCCGCCCGGCTACCTGATTGGCCAGGAAGCCAGATCAATGCCGATTGGCTAGGAAGCCGGTTTCCCAGCCAATCACAATAAAGACAACATGGAGCTGGCTTTTCGGGGAATCAGGAAGCTCCATGCTAGCGGAAGCATCGGCATCGGTACTCGGTATCGGCGAGTACCAAAAGAATATCAGTACCTGTACTCGATACTGAAAAATCGGTATAGGTGCATCCCTAGTCATAATGTTATGGCTGTGTAAATAAAAAAACATATTTTAAATAAATATTTTAAATAAATATATATATATTTACACTATATTGCCAAAAGTATTGGGACGCCTGCCTTTACACCCACATGAACTTTAATGGCATCCCAGTCTTGGTCCGTATGGTTCAATATTGAGTTAGCCCACCCTTTGCCGCTATAGCAGCTTCAACTCTTCTGGGAAGGCTGCCCACAAGGTTTAGGAGTGTGTCTATGGGAATGTTTGACCATTCTTCCAGAAGCGCATTTGTGAGGTTAGGTACTGATGTTGTAAGAGAAGGCCCGGCTCGCAGTCTCCGCTCTAATTCATCCCAAAGGTGTTCTATCGGGTTGAGGTCAGGATGTCTTTATGGACCTTGCTTTGTGCACTGGTGCGCAGTCATGTTGGAACAGGAAGGGGCCATCATCAAACTGTTCCTACAAAGTTGGGAGCGTGAAATTGTCCAAAATGTCTTGGTATGCTGATACCTTAAGAGTTCCCTTCACTGCAACTAAGGGGCCAAGCCCAACCCCTGAAAAACCGCACACCATAATCCCCCTCCTCCAAACTTTACACTTGGCACAATAAAGTCAAGCAAGTACCGTTCTCCTGGCAACTGCCAAACCTAGCCACGTCCACTGGATTGCCAGACAGAGAAGCGTGATTCGTCACTCCAGAGAACATGTCTCCACTTCTCAAGTCACACTTGTTAAGTAGACTATATTTGCACATTTTCCAGGAATTGTTCAAGTTTTTAAGGCTTTTCTTTTTTTCTTTTTACTTTATTTTCAGTACAAAAACAAACCAGGTCACCAATAAGTGAATAACCGAAGCAACATGCTTCAGTTTGGAGTTATTTCACTAACTCACTTGTGCATACTGATTTCTGCCTGCTCCCCCCAAAATAGCAAAACATATGTATTACAAATAAGTCAAAATACATTAAAAAAACTTTCAAAACTTCTTAGTATAAATCCTAACTGCAGTTGGTTGAAAACAAATACCAGGGTCAGGTCTGTGATGAGATAAAAAAATGTTTTATGTCTGGAACGTTTGGGTCCTTACACTTTAGTTAGATTTATTTTCAGGCAAAACAAGAGCAGTAGCCTTACTAGCTTTCTGAGATGTTTACCAATTATATTTCATAGTTACATAGTTACATAGTATTTGAGGTTGA